TGGGTTGAGACACATTTTCTAAAAATGTTCGTACGCAGCGATCAAAAAGACAAGTTGGATAACAATTCTTATTAAGAATCTGGCGGTATAGTTCTAACTGAGCGTGAAAGTTCTCATAATTGGAGCAAAGACTAAAGAAACGATGAATAAGAGAAGAAACTAAGCTACGTTTATATTGAAAATGAATTAATAGAGCTACGGAAGTTGGTAAACAGACCTGTGAATAATACTTGCTTGTTATAAGGGGGGTTTGTCTGTTATAATGACGTGGTATCAGTTGGCTGAAAAGAATGAATTCTTCAGGCACCTAAGCATTTTCACTGAACAAATATTTAAAAGCATTAATGGATGATTCCAGCTTGATCTAGACAAGAAGAACGAAATCCATTACCAAAGCTGGAAAGAGCATCTTAAAATGAGTAAAATTGCAAAGTTTGGTTGCGAATTGTTGTAAAATGAGGAAAATATAGCCCTGTGAACTTTGCAAATTTTGTATATATTAATTTGCATTACGCGCGGGAAAAATAACCATTTTTGAGCCGAAAGTGGTTATATTTTTACCGCGCGTAATACAAATATATACAAAATTTGCGAACTTCGCAGGACTATATTTTCTTCGTTATACAACATTTCGCAGTTTTACTCATTCTAAGGCGCTCTTGATAGCTGTGCTGTAACTGCTAGCGCTGTTGGATTTCGTTCCTCTTGCCTTGATCAAAATTTAGACTATAGCTGGATCACCCATTGTTTGCCTATAATACTACGCGGAAAATGCACTAATTACATCAAAGTACACGTAATTTGCACGTATAAACCAAAACATTTAATCGAACGCTGCCAATATAAAACGCCTGCCCTTATAGAACCATTTCATTGACTAGTGTTTCGTTCGATCATTTTAACATATTTAGAAAAATCCCTCCCGAAACAATGCAAAAGTTTGAGTTCTAAAACGATGGATCAAAGTGATGATCAGTTCAGTGGCGAAGCTGAGGGAACTTGACTAGTCATGCTCTAAGACCCGCACAGGCTAGGGGGGTCCGGGGGCATGCACCCCCGGGAAATTTTGGTTTTCGAAGTCTAGAATGGCCATTTCCTGCGATTTCAGGGTGAAATTCATGCAAAGAGAGCAACAAAAAATGTGTGATAAGAGGAAAATTCTTAATATCTTTTCGTTTTGAAATTTGTATTTCCACAAAATTTAATTCTATTTCACTATATATTTCAACTTAACTGAAAATGTCGCTCAGTATAGCCAATATTGGCAGAAGAAAGAGGAGAATATTGTATGTTTACATTTTAATACCCTTCTGTAATTATGATCTTTCATTTGGAATTGCGTTAAGGTCAACTGCAATGTACTATAGTATAGTGTCTACAACTCTATAAGGACCTTGCAAATAATCTGAAGCAGAAACGTAATGTTGAAAGATACTTTGTTTAGATATTTGGTATATCAGTAAACCTCCAATTATATAAGCACTCATGAATAAAGCAAATGAATATATTTATATCAATAGGAAATGCCTTCACAAATGTTGTTTATAATGATAAAATATATTTTTAGAAGCCAGAAATATTCTATCCAAATCAACATGGCCTTCCTACGATTTACTCGATTGACGTTGGTCAATTTCCATGGATACATAACCAAGATCACTTGAATAAATCTCGACAGAATTGCTGAATAATTTACGCTATTTAACTTGGTCGTGCTTTCGAAGATGAGCACGACCAAAAGACAAAATTCGGCGATATACGCATGCGCGAGGGGCACACGACTAACGGGAGGATTACCCATTAGTCGTGCTATTAACCCGTGGTCGGGTACAACTACGCAATCATACCTTGAACTGGTTTAAAATCAGAACAAAATCACTGGATTTGAAAGGATTTCGCACTTAATAGATGACGCAAGTGTACCATGATCATTTTTAAATTTTTGGTGAAATTTCTTTTTAAGACTAACAAATTATTTTCTTTGAAAAATTCTTACTCGTGCTCAGCACGACTAGCACGACCTCTAGTTTCGCCACTGGATCAGTTCCTGGTCACAGTAGTACGATCGTACTTGTGTCACCATGTTTTTCCAATATCCTCAATTTCCTCATTGGGGCAGAATTTTGCAGCAGAAAAAGAATGAAAGTGGTAAATGTGGCAGGTTTTGTGGCAGATAAACTGTAAAACAAACTGCATGGTATCTGGTGATGACCAAAATGGAAACAAATGAACAATGTATTATTGTGTTACAATAGATTAAGTTAAATGCATGATTGTGTGTAGGTAGTGTTAAGTGGTCAGCAATGTTGCGACAGGGCAAAGGCGTAGTCGCATGGACTTGCGGCAGCCGAAGCGTTCTTTCCATTATGGCCTATCCACAGCGGAAAGGTTGTACCCGTGAAGCTGAGATATTAGGCATACTGTTTGATGAGTACAGGCAAGGAATGGCAGTAAAGATAACAGGTCCCTATTTTTCATCTTTAGTCCTAGACAAAAGCAGAATAGAGTGCCAAGGTCATTGTAAGATGGCGGCCAATGAATGACAAAGAAGTCGGCCAAGGTTTTGAGAGGTTTGTTTAACTGTGTTTATGTAAAGTATACAAGTTTATCACGTGCGCGTTTTTAAAAAACTTTTCAGGTTCTGTACCGTCCCTGAGGAGATTCTAATCAAAATACTTTGGTTTGGGAACACCATTATGGTAGCCAGTGTGGCAGGCTGAATTTAAGGCCTGTCCAGTGGCACACACTTTCTGAAATATTGGGGTTGAGGCACGCTTGCCTTTCCTCCCTAATTTTCATTGCCCACGCCCCAAGCCAAAAAACACCAGCTTTATGGTTGAAAAACGAAGCTGCTAATCAGACTGTGAAAACCACGCGTTTTTGGGCGTTGTCTATGATCAAATCAATTTGACTGTTTTAAGAGATGCTATGTCAACATTTCAGTTGCAGCCTATTATAAGGACCACAGAAATTCACCAAAAGCTGGCATAAGCTGCCTAAGTGCACAATAATAACGGGTTATAATTTTTATTTGTCTCATGTCTATTTCGACTTGTCTACCACAGCGGCGTAAACAAGGCATCGCATCTATTTTTGGACATCAAATCAATATGGCCGTTTCCACAGATAACAGTATACATAATGAGTGAACACCTTAATACTAACACATTATTGGCTCTCAATATCATCTGAGTAACTGTTTCAAAATTATGCGACTAGCCTAAGTCTACATGTATATATGTTTTATGTCAATCAGCAATTCAGAATATATTTACAAGTACAGTATAGCATTTTGTTGTGTGTTGTGCATGTATTTGCTTGTAGCCCCTGTATAACGAATTTGGAATGATTCTCAAGATGTTTTAGGGAGGAGGGGAATTCTTCCCCAGGAAAATGTTTGGTATTTAGAACTTCGCAAACATCATTTCCTGGCAGTTTTAAGGGTTTTTCAAGTCAAGAACGAATGCAATTCTAGATAAAATTTCTCTTAATTTACAAACAAACAATTTAATTTTCACCATAGATAACTGAATTGAAAATTATGCACCAGCTTGTGAAGGCTAGTTGTGCACCGGACACAACACTTTCATTCCATACTGGCTGACCGAGGTTTCTGAAATGAAATGAGAAGAGAAAAGACGAGTTAAAAACTCCTATATAATCGAATTTCCTATATAATGCAATTTGTATATAATCGCGTAATTCGCATTCAGATAATTCTTACCGTTCCGGTTTTCTAAGCGTCAAATATTTATTTGACAGTCCAAATATTAATTTCTCATTTATAAAATTTATGTTCGCTTTATCGATGTGCATATATTCCCCAAGAATTGCAATAAATACATGCAGTGTCAGTGACATTTGCAATGAAAACAATGCAATTTTGATCGTCTTTGAAGAACCCACCAGTGCATGTTGTTTTTCAAATTGCACGAGAAACCATACTATGATACATACCGCCATGTCGATTTTTCCAGCCTCGTTTTCATGTTCTGCTCTTGTTTTGCTCTTTGCCAATCAGAATCGAGTAATTTTTTCATGTATAGTATTAATATTATAATCATATAGTGGGCAAAATTACTCAAATATTATTGGCTAATGATGAGGGCATTTTTTTCTAAATTCAGGGCAAAATTATACTTGTACTTGATTGGCTGATACGCAAGCGCGGGAAGTTTCTTGTTTTAATAATGATGTTATTGAAGAAGTAAAAACTTCTAGTGAAAACTGAAACACTAGAAAAAGTACAAATTTATTGCTTGGAGTATTTAAGAAATGGACAACAATTAAGGAATATCGGCGAAGACATGGAGACATACGAGGTTCAAGAACTTGACAGGTTCACAATTTACATACGAATAAACTACACTCAAGTAGACTGCACTCAGTTTGTAGTGTTAATACCATATATGGATTTTTTAATATAGGTTCGAATATAGCATTAAATTGTTGACATTTCGTAGCATAAACAATGTAATAACATCTGCTTGTGAGTTTGAACGGCGTTCTAAATATATAAAGACTAGATATTTCTCCAACATTGGATAAGATAAGATAAGATAAGATGAGGTAACTTTATTTTAGCAGGGTGGCCCATTCAGCACTAAGCTGGTATCAATAGGGGCCCTGCGTATCTAAATATATCTATTTACACAATAAGAAAATATAATAATTATATAGTACATATATAAAATGTAAGTATATAATACAATGTTATAATTATAATAACCTAATTGTACAATGAGTATTAATTATTAAAAACTGTGTCTTTGTATAAGAGACTTGAAATTAGACAAGGTACCTGCCTTTTAATTCGATCTGGAAGATTATTATAAAGCAGTGATCCCAAGTATAATTATAAAAGATCTCTTGCCAAGACTAAGATTTGGTTTAGGTAAGTGCAAATCATCTTTCCTTCTAGTATTATAAGTTAGAATGAATATTTGAATTCCTTACAAAATATCAAGAAATTGTCAAGAAAAAATTTTCCGGAGAAACTTTCCGAAATTGTTGTCGACGGGGGGGAGGGGGGGGGGAAGAGTGATTACGAAAAATTCCTATTAGGTAGCATATTTCCCACAAAATTTCCCACAAAATTGACAGAATTTGTCCCATTTATTTTTATAGTAAGGCATATTGCCCGACTGTGAAGCGAATATTGCCCGACTGAGTTTGTTTGCCCAACAAACTGGGGGGGCTGCCGCCCCGCTCGGTACGCCCATGCTGATGAGTTTTGGTTTTGTGACTGCCACGATAGCTATTATATATATGCGTTTTTAATGGCACACTATCACAAAAAATTGAATTACAATGTGCTTACAATAATTACATAGCTAAGTTATAAAGATGCAATAAATTTAATACCATATTTACAATTTAAAAATTTAGATGTGAGGAAAGTATATATTGTAATTAGTTTAGATATTCAAAAACTAGTGTCATGATGACATATTTAAAACTCGAATCATACTTGGGAAAAAGCTTTTCTGAAAACGATCAGTTCTACATTTGAACAATGACCAATTGTTAGAATTACGTAAATCGTAGTTCACGTTTTCTCTAGTCTGAGGTGAGAGATAGGACAGGCGGTTACCATCAGTTATCTTTTTAATCGTTCTTTCGCACAAAGCATCGCGTCTCTCATTCAGGCGGGAACAATGGAGCTGACTCAAAGCGGCTTCTCGGTAAGACCTGCCAGGGAGGATTATATTCAGTGCTCTTTTCTGAACTCGTGCAATTGAGTCCGCCAGATAAGCTGGTAGATTGCTTACATCACTGATCAACATTATATCACTGACCAACCGAGCCAGTTTTCTATGACAAGTTTTCTTTGTCAATAGCACGTGTGTACGTCCAACAAAATGTATTGGTTTTCTGATCACCACGATAGTTATTCTTAGCTATTACAACATATAGATAGCTGACCAACCATATGCAAGTACTCAGATTACTTTGCCAAATTTTCTTTGACTTTGTTGACTCATACATAAAACGAACAAAATTTGTACTTTGCCAATTTTTTCTATGACAACTGAGTACACTTGTTCAGAAGCTAGTAGGCTAGAAAAATTGCTGGAGTTTCGTACACAAACGTGAAACGAGCAAATAAAACTTGTCATAGAGAACTTGCTCTCGATTGTAACCGGCTTATATGTGTGTCTTGGCCGGTTGTATAACAAAGTGATTAAAGTTAACTATAATTGCAAACGTCATCCACTAAGAAGCGCGTATTTGAGAGTTAATCACTATTTAAATGCGAAATAGTGATTAAAAAAGTGATTAAGAGTTTTATAAATATATACGAAAATTTGTGGGACTAAGACCCCGTTTACGCGCGGTACCGGACGAATTTGGACCGGGCTGACATTCGGCCGTTTACACGAGAACCACGGGACACAGGACGAATTTGAGACCCCCTATAACAGGACCAATTTGCGTGTAAACAGGCGAAAAAGGACGAAAAAATCGTCAGAGAGCCGTAGATGCATGACCGGCCCGCCATCTTAAAGGACCATGGCAACAAAAATTAGTTTGTATCATTCAAAAGTAGTTCTAGTTACTAAAGACTTTTTACATTTTATCTTGATTGTTTATTAAAATATTTCGAATAAAAACAGTGGGCTGTCTGCCATATTGATTATTATTTAGGATATGCAGATTACGTCACAAGTGGGGCCACGCAAGTTTTTTAGCTTGACATCAGTGATCAATATGAGCCGGAAACTCGTTTCTAGTTGCTATTTCAAATTTAGAAATGATTAAAAACATTTTAAACAATTTTGTATTGTTACTCGGTAACTTAGACGTAATTTTATTAGGCTAACCCCTCTTCTGACGTCATCAAAACGATAATTAGGCCCCAATTACACGATACCGGATTCGTATCGGAGCGACATCAATTTAAGATGTTTTCCAGTCTTGTCCGCTCTTACAACTTTTCATATTTGAACTTTTTGTCCCCAAGCCGACGGCGCGAAGCGCCGTGCGAGGGTACTAATTCCGCCCGGCTATTTACACCCGGGGAAAGGAATGCAGTAGCGAAGTCTAAAGTGCATCAAATATCGTAGGCGCATGGCTCACCGTTCATGGGTGGTCATCCTCACTGATCTCAAAATATGTAGCGGACTGTCGTGAATAGTGAACACTGATTGTTCAAATTTGAAATTTGCATTATAACGGCTGCATTGACGACAGCGAAATAACAAACATTTCTTTCAAGTTGTATTATTGCAAGATTTTGTAAATTTCAAAACCTTTCTGAGAGCCAAAAAAGTCTAAAAACTTCTAAAAGAATGAAGCAAAGTCGCCGACGTTAATGAAGGTAAGTTTGTTTTAAATATTGATGCATTGTTTGTTTTATAATTGATATATTTATAACTATAGTGGTGGTCGATACTGCGAATATCGAACTGATATACTATCGTTGCGCTCGTCGTTGCGTATATAAGTGAAAAAAGACAGCATATAATTTCAGTGTAGTTTTATTAATTACCCTTTCTTTTGTATATTAAAATATTTAAATAAAGAGAAAAGCAAAGTTATTTTCATGCGAGAATTTGAAATCGGTTTATTTCAAACTCAATTTTTTCCGATAATTCGATAAAAGACCGTTTAGTTCTAAGAAGATTTTAAAACGTTTTGCGAAGCGTTTGTGGTGGAATTTTACATTAAATTGAAGCTTATATTACGTATGATAACACTGATAACATACCTAGTATATATATGTTTGGGAAATTGATAATTTTGTCACTAAAAGTGATATTTTGGGGGGATTTTTCAATTTTAAAACTATTCTTAAAATTATCGTGTTACCATGACAACTACTTTCAACTCTTCATATTCAGAAAACATATAATGTTTATCAGTAATAAGGCGAGGGTTTCTGCATGCGTGTATTTTCTAATTTAAATATGTTATATTATCATATTTTAAGTAAATTCACCTCGAAGCAGTAAAATTTGATGTCGCTCCGATGCGAATCCGCGGTATCTTGTAACTGGGGCCTACTTCAATTTCTTATTGTAAAACTGATAAAAAAGTTCTTTCGAATGAGACAGTACTAAATTTTTGTTGCCATTGCCCTTTAATGCGTGAGAGCCGTCCTTCCCTATGCCACTTCGAATGACAGACAAAAACAGTTGGTATAGAATAGTCACGGTAACACAATGAAATTTTATTGGATTTTAAACTATTTTAATCATTATCACGAACTATTGGGCCTCCTATGATCCTACACTTATTCCGCAGGACAGGCGCTAGACTTGCCCACAAGTCAATCTCGAATAGCGAGCGGTGAACGGCAAAGCCGCGAGCCTTCGAACCGCGAAAAAAAACCTGGAAAGGACTTTGGGAAAGTCTAGGCAGGCGCTCGCTACTATACGTATCATACTTACCATACTTCCGTGTTTATTCAGAAGCACCGTTGTATTTAAACTCGTTGAACTGGACACTGTTGTCAGTTCTGTGTATTCCGCGTTGGTTGTGTACATTATCTTAAGCATGCAGGTAAGATGTTCTAGAGAGGAATGGATCATCAGTCTTAGTTTGAAACACAGATCCGTCTGGACGAACTTGGACAAAGAAAAGATGGTTCGTCTGATAATTTTTCTGTGTTAATTTTCAAGACTTTAGTTTTAAAAACAATTCTGTTAATGGTATAGCAGGTGTGCTACTTTCTGACGTTTTTAACATTTGAAAGTTGGAAATTTTATCAGAAAACGTTGAACTAGCGCCGTGATTTTGACAAGATGTTGTCAAAGTCGCGATATGGCGGATTGGTTATGTTGTTTAATGTTTCAAACAGTTTTTTCCGAATTTATTTCGGGTTTTTTTCCCTAGAACAACATCGGTTGAATCATTTTCAAAAAACATCGTTTTTTCCCCGGTTTATCGATTAACCGCCTCACCCTCCCAAAAAAACGATGAAGAAGAGAGAAAATCCCACTTTTAAGACACTGGTCATTTCGGCTCGTCCTTTCGACTAGTGTAATTAACTGATATTATTTCTATATTATAATTTTCATGAACTGGTATTGTCGTGTGCAAATTATTGTTGTAATGTAACTTTTTTGTGGGGCTTGAGGTACGAGGGGTGCTTTAACCGTTTAAACCGATTTTAAACTTTTTTGCCAGTCCGTGCTGAATTTTTTACGTTTACATGCCAGTCGTCTAAACCTCTCGCACTCAGGGTAGTTTTAATCCAGTTTGGTTCCCTCTGTGCTTCGAGGGTTTTTCTTCGCATGCCCCAGGACTCAAGTTGTCCAGCACTTGTATCATCAACTTGGGTGAATTGCCAGTGTAATCGACATTGAATAAATTACTATTATTTATTGAATTTTTGAATTCTTTCTAGATTACCAAAAAGATTTTTCGAATTAGCTCTATCATTCCCTGTCTACTATGTATTGCTATTTCATTCGACCAAGGTAAGGACTATCACACCTGACGCCGAGAATTTTACCAACCTGTTTAATATCGATGACTTAAGTAATATATCTCAGACAGATGCTTTACTTAATATATCCAAAATCGATGATATACTGTCAAGCTCTAATGCTTCTACAATAAAGGAACTTGAGGATTTTATTGACAAATCATTTTGTAATGCTTTTGGGCTGCCTGATTTTGCCCTACCGACCGACATGTCTACTCCAGTTAAACAACACCCTGATGGAAATCTAGCAAAACTTGAATCACAATTTTTCACATTAAAGGAAAATGTTGAGGTACAGCTGCAAAGTTTATCTTATAAACTCTCTGAGCAGAATAACATCATTAATTCAAATAATCAAGAACTATGCAAATTAAACTGTGAAAATTTGCATTTAAAATCATGTATCTGTAGAGTTAGAAGTGAAAACAATGATAACAACAATATGGAACCAAATGCCGGCAAATCTTTCGTTTTAGCCGCTTCCCAACAGAGCAGTGTCGAATGGTTAGGTCGCCTGCCGTTGATTGAAAAACATGCAAAGCAGGCTAACCAAACTTCGTTCTGCAACACTAAAAGTAGAAGCAGTAGTGTTTTCAAAAACCATGACACCGAGTATTATAAAGGATGTCCGACAAATACAAAGCCTTTAAGAAGCTTCACCAAGGCACAATTGCATACGCAATTCCCCTGGTCGACGCCCTTTTTTAAAACGTGAGAGCATCAAACCACCATCATATGAACATCTCATCGTCTTCACTCACTAGAGTGGTTGATCCATCTCGATGTG